TATATTTTGTAATATTTTTTTGTAAACGTTAGGTACAGATAAATCGTCATATTATACAGCTAATTTAATCAAATTTGTCAGACACCACAATAATCATTTTTCCAAAGATTGATTAAAACTTTCAAAAAGAAAAAAATTTAAGTATTAATTTTTGTTACTTATCCCAATATTATTGTAATAATAATAAAGTAATATCAATATTTCATCCATCGCAGATTAAATTAGGGAAATATTCTGTTCCGGGTGTGAATAAGGTAATTACACTTAAATATATTAACAACAACAACATAAACAGGAAATTGATATAGTATAACAATATTTGATTATTACAGCAAAATAATAGGCATTTGTTTTTTGATATTTTGTTTTCATGGTCCCTCACCGTTCCGTTTGAATTAATAGTAAAGTTATGCATTTGACACATTATTAATTGTATCAAACAAATTTCAAACAACCTATAATATTATATTTAATATACCGTCATACAGTACCTACAGTCAGTATATTATAACTTTTACAGCCACAATCAATTTCCCTATTTAATGACACAGCAAGAAAATAATGGCAAAAATAATAAAGATGGCGTTTTACTTAATTTTTATTGGAGCACTTGTCATCAATGTTATGTCTGTAGGTATATTTATTATTACGTAGGCATAATATATTGTGTATAGTTACTATTGTTTAGAATATATCAGTAAGGGCCTAGTAAGTACTTGTGATCGACAAACTAACACAATTGCTTAACACAAAATTGTATATTTGTATTGTAGGTATACTATATAATGAATTAAAAATACCTAACATTACCAAATAACAGCTAGTAGTTTTCATTGAAAATTAATAACATTAATATATGTTAACTATATTTACCTATTACCATTGCACATAAGTACATTACTGCCCAGGTCGACAATTTATGCTTATACAATATTTATGTTTCATTAAAATTTTTAGTACAATCCTTTGTTAACATACACTCTACGTTTTAAAAAAAAAGACAGTACAACCTAACATCACCACTCATTATTATACAATCGATCGATACAAAGAAGGAGAATTTTTAAATGCCCAAATTACAATCAATTCGAAAGAACCTATAATATTATAATATTTAATATACCGTCGTACAGTACCTACAGTCAATATATTACAACTTTTACAGCCACAAGCAATTGCCCTATTTAATGACACAGCAAGAGAATAATGGCAAAAATAATAAATATGGCATATTACTTAATTTTTATTATAGCACTTGTCATCAATGTTATGTCTGTAGGTATATATATTAATTATTAATTATTCTCAAGTGTACATATAGTTACTAATATATCTTTACCTAGTTTGTGTGTTCAACAACACATAACGATATACGGTATATCATATACCTAACAATAAGTTAGTAGTAAAATATTATTTTACTTACCTAAATATTATAGAACCTATATTAGAATGATGAATGTACTTTATTTGAAGTATTTCATTTAGGTGTTTCAATTTAAAGGCCTTAAATTATTATACATGATATACGTATCTGTAAAGTCTTACCTGAACATTACTACCTAGGTTAACCATTTATGCTTATACAATATTTATGTTTCACTATAATTTTTAGTACAATCCTATGTTGACATACACTCTCCGTTTTAAAAAAATACAATTTTATCATAACATATCTATGAGTGATTATAAGATCGATCGATACAGAGAAGGAGAATTTTTGAATGCTAAAATTAAAATAAATTCGGAAGAACTAATTAACAAAGTAAGTATAAAAAAACCACAATTCAGATTAACCTTTTAAACTATAATGTTGTTAAATTATTTTTCGTGTATAAATGTTTCCCAGTAATAATAGCTACTTAAATAATTATATTTGAATTTTTAAGGTAATAGCGATATTTTATCGTTGTGACCCAGATGGTATTAACTGCGAATACAGCCAGACGTGGACATTCTCAGACGTTTGCAATAAATTAAAGGAGAAAAATCAAGTATGGTCCCGATTTTACCGTGCTTTTGATCCACCGTTTATTTGTCCAATAAATAAAGTAAGGAAGTTTTAATTCATTTTAATGTTAATATTTATTTTTCAATAATAATAAATGGTCCCTTCTTTATTCATATGACGGCCCATGAGTTGACAATTTGAAATACAAAGCCATTAAATAGTTAATACAATTAAATAAATACAATATATTTTTCTCACATTACTAAAATATCAATTTAAATAAATACATATTTTTTATATTTATATAAGATGTAATATTATGATTGAGATCGTGTAGTCAAATGAAACCAAGAAAAAGATGGGTGGACATGGTGAAAACGGATCTCACGGAAATCTCAGAAGAGAGGATTTTTTGAGGCAGCGATAGTCCTAAATGGACCGAAAAACCTGAGACGATGATGAAGTTAAATAAAACAATACAAAATTATAATTAACTAGATTCAGTAAGAGTGACGATATCCCTCATGATATTATGTTCCCCAAAAAGTTATTATGGTCAAGTTCATAAAAATAGTTAAGTCATGGCCCAGTTATTTGCAGTGTGCAATTTTTATAAATTTAAAATTTTAGTGGTCCTGCAGTTACCAAACTCTTTTTTTTTAACAAAAAGGTAAAAATTGTGGTCCAATTCCCGGACGTACGTTTCATATGTGCCTCCCCATGGGTGGTTTGCGTTCGGGTGTAAGCTTATAAAAATTGTAATGAGTTTATTTAAAGTGATTTTAAAACGTTGTAACGTCCAATGGGTATATTAACCTGAGATACGTTTGAGTAGTATTTTATCAATCCATTAAACTTACTCTCTCGTTTTGGCCGACATGAGATTGTACAAGGTTGATACGCCGAGAACTAGCTGAGCCTACCATTTATTATGCACTAATAGAAAAAAAATTACTGATATAAATAGAAATAAATATTAAAATACCCTTAAAAATAAATACTCATCATCTCATCATAAGCATATACTCATCGTATTTCCTCAGTAACGTATTTGGTAATAATGATTTATGGTTGAATTCAAATTTAACACATTTATTATCCCGATCTACTTAATAAGGAACATTTTCAACGACAGTTTATGCTAAACTTTGAACAGTTCGGATGTTGAATGTTCATTAATTGAACCCAGGATATTCATATGGAATAAAAAAATATTAAAAATTACAAAATATGCATTATAATACACGTATTATAAGTATAATTCTTTTTTTTTCTAATAATATAAAATAAAATATAATATATATAAAATCATATATGTATAATTTATTATTATAGGTATCTATTATATCATGAGATTGAACTATAATAATAACGTTTTACATTTAGGTGTCTTATCAAATAAAAAATGCAACTATTGATGTTGATGCAGCACTACTGTTGTTTCCGCAAGCGACCGATTACCAATGGAAAACACATCAAAAGTTCTACTCTGATGATATATTTGTTGGTAGTGTCATAACAGAGCTCTATTTTTTTGGCTACAGAAAAAAAATTAAGTCCATTTTAAAACTTTAATAATTTATGACAATAATTATTCATTAAAGTTAACTACAATATCAAAAATAATGAATTGATTTACACAAGTCTTTTAAATATACCTAATCTATTCTCGTAAATAACCAAAAATGTTTCTTATTATATGAATAACTTATTCATAAGTATCTCACAATATTACATATTGCCATGTGATAAAACAATAATGTAACTATAGTAACCAAATTAATAATTAAGCTCTTTGTCAGTAAATATTAGAAGGCCAGTAAAATATAATCTTTATACATTATCAATATAGGAAACTAGGTATGATAGTTTAAAAAATAAGAGGGAGGATACTACTGTGTCCGAAATTATGATCAGTAGGTGAATTGCTTCCTGCAAAAAAGATTCAAAAAGGGTAATAGCGTACATGCGTCCCGGACTATCAGTATAATATCTATTTTTATAAAATAATTGCGTCCCAAAAATATAGATATGATCGATATCAAAATGTTAATAAAAAAATGCATTGATGTTTATTTTATGTATAACATGCAGCCAAATAATGGAAAACGGTAAGTGGTTCATCTTATTATAGTACACCGCGTTGTCAATAAAGTGCTAACATTTTAACCGCGTGTGTTTATATTTATTATTTATTAAAAAGTATCGGTATATACGTTTATAATTACTTACGCAGAAATATAATATAATTATTAATCTTTTAATCTAAAGAGTTGAGAAATACATTGATACGATAAATTCAACAAAATGTCTACTATTTAAATTAATCGTTTTACTGTAACTTGTAAGTCATCGAGTTCTTAAACAAATGTATTGTGTGTTAAAAGTATACAATCCATAATTTTGTTACGTACTATGTTTAAGTAAATTATTTGTTTAAGTAATTTTTAGTGGCTTTGTCATTGTATCAAGCTTATTTATTCAAATACTTTATTATATTTTGTAATATTTTTTTGTAAACGTTAGGTAAAGATAAATCGTCATATACAGCTAATTTAATCAAATTAGTCAGACACCACAATAATCATTTTTCCAAAGATTGATTAAAACTTTCAAAAAGAAAAAAATTTAAGTATTATTTTTATTACTTATCCCAATATTATTGTTATAATAATAGTAATATCAATATTTCATCCATCGCAGATTAAATTAGGGAAATATTCTGTTTCGGGTGTGAAAAAGGTAATTACACTTAAATATATTAACAACAGCAAAAAAAACAGGAAATTGATATAGTATGACAATGTTTGATTATTACAGCAAAATAATAGGCATTTGTTTTTTGATATTTTGTTTTCATGGTCTCTCACCGTTCCGTTTGAATTAATAGTAAAGTTATGCATTTGACATATTATTAATTGTATCAAACAATTTTCAAACAAAATATACTATTATATTTAATATACCGTCATACAGTACCTACAGTCAGTATATTATAACTTTTACAGTCACAAGCAATTGCCCTATTTAATGACACAGCAAGAAAATAATGGCAAAAATAATAAAGATGGCGTTTTACTTAATTTTTGTTGGAGCACTTGTCATCAGTGTTATGTCTGTAGGTATATATATATTAATTATTAATTATTGTCACGTGTACATATAATTACTAATATATCTTTACCTAGTTTGTGTGTACAACAACACATAAGTGTATAATATACTATATACGATATACCTAACAATAAGTTAGTAGTAAAATATTATTTTACTTCACTATTATAGAACCTATATTAGAATGATGAATGTATTTTATTTGAAGTATTTCATTTAGGTGTTTCAATTTAAAAGCCTTAAATTATTATACATGATATACGTATCTGTAAAGTCTTACCTGAACATTACTACCTAGGTTAACCATTTATGCTTATACAATATTTATGATTCACTATAATTTTTAGTACAATCCTTTGTTGACATACACTCTCCGTTTTAAAAAAATGCAAGTATTTCATAACATATCTATGAGTGATTATAAGATCGATCGATACAAAGAAGGAGAATTTATAAATGCTAAAATTAAAATAAATTCGAAAGAACTAATTAACAAAGTAAGTATAAAAAAAACCACAATTCAGATTAACCTTTTAAACTATAATGTTGTTAAATTATTTTTCGTGTATTAAATGTTTCCCAGTAATAATATCTCCTTAAATAATTATATTTGAATTTTTAAGTTAATAGCGGTATTTTATCGTTGTGACTCCGATGGTATTAATTGCGAATACTTCCAAACATGGACATTCTCAAACGTTTGCAATCAATTAAAGGAGAAAAATCAAGTATGGTCCCGATTTTCCGATGCTTTTGATCCACCGTTTATTTGTCCAATAAATAAAGTAAGGAAGTTATAATTCATTTTAATGTTAATATTTATTTTTCAATAATAGAATGGTCCCTTCTTTATTCATATGAAGGCCCATGAGTTGACAATTTGAAATACGAAGCCATTAAATAGTTAATACAATTAAATAAATACAATATATTTTTCCCGCATTACTAAAATATCAATTTAAATAAATACATATTTTTATATTTATATAAGATGTAATATTATGATTGAGATCGTGTATTCAAATAAAACCAAGAAAAATATGGGTGGACATGGTGAAAACGGATCTCACGGAAATCTCAGAAGAGAGGAGTTATTGAGGCAGCGAAAGTCCTAAATGGACCATAAAACCTGAGACGAGGATGAAGTTAAATGAAACAATACAAAATTATAATTAACTAGAGCTATAAAACTAAAATTATCAAAAATACAAATTCGATATGTCTATATCTATTTTTTTAATAATTTAACGCTAAGTTATTTTTTAATAATCTTAATAAGCGCTACAGCTAGAAGTACCTACCTACCAAAGTTATGTAAAATCATTCTTTACCGTCAATACCTTTATATTATTTAGTATGGTATCTTGATTACTTTTTAATAATTATTAGTTTTTTTCTCTATTAATAGGCATATAATTATTTTGGATCGTCAGAAATTGGCTGAAATTTTATCGATCTGCTGCGTATATAAAATATTTTATATTTTATTACCCGGGTATTTTACCACAACAAAAATATGGAATGTTTTAAGAGTTTAAGACAGTCAAAACACAATTATATCTTTATAATTTATTTTAATTTCATTCAATATAAGTAGTAACATTTTTAAGAGAAAATTTGGTGCTCTTTAATTAGATCTTTATCGATGGATACCTTAAAATGTGTGATTAGTACAATTTAGTAATAGTGATGATATCCCTCATTATATTATGTTCCCCAAAAAGTTATTATGATCAAGTTCATAAAAATAGTTAAGTCATGGCCCAGTTATTTTCCGCGTGCAATTTTTATAAATTTAAAATTTTAGTAGTCCTGCAGTTACCAAACTCTTTTTTTTTTTTAACAAAAAGGTGAATATTGTGGTCCAATTCCCGAACATACGTTTCATACGTGCCTCTCCATGAGTGGTTTGCGTTTGGGTGTACGTTTATAAAAATTGTAATGCGTTTATTTAAAGTGATTTTAAATGTTGTAATATCCGCAATGGGTATATTAACCTGAGATACGTTTGGGTAGTATTTTATCAATCCATTAAACTTACTCTCTCGTTTTGAGACTGTAAAAGGTTGATACGCCGAGAACTAGCTAAGCCTACCATTTATTATGTACTAATAGAAAACAAATGACTGATATAAATATAAATATAAATGAAAATACCTTTAAAAATAAATACTCATCATCTCATCATAAGCATATTATACTCATCGTATTTCCTCAGTATTGTATTTGGTAATAATGAGTTATGGTTGAATTCAAATTTAACACATTTATTATCCCGATCTACTTAATGAGGAAAATTGTCAACCACAGTTTATGCTAAACTTTGAACAGTTCGAATGTTGAATGTTCGTTAATTGAACGCAGGATTTTCGTATGAAATAAAAAAATATTAAAAATTACAAAATATGCATTATAGTACAAGCATTATAAGTATAATTGTTTTTTTTCTAATAATTTAACAGCATTTTACTATAAATATTGTTATGTACCTATATAAAATCATATAATATATTATATATATTATATGTATAATTTATTATTATAGGTATCTATTATATCAGAAGATTGAACTTTAATAATAACGTTTTACATTTAGGTGTCTTATCAAATAAAAAATGCAACTATTGATGTTGAAGCAGCACTACTTTTGTATCCTCTAGCGACCGATTACCAATGGAAAGTAAATCCAAAGTTCTACTCTGATGATATATTTGTTGGTAGTGCCATAACAGAATTCTATTTTTTTGGCTACAGAAAAAAAATTAAGTCAATTTTAAAACTATAATACGTAGTATAATGTGTTATTTATTAAATTGAACCACAATATTATTATGAATAAACTAATTCATAGTAATAATCCATAACTGTTTAATATATTATAGAAGGGAAGATTCAAAATGTATTTTACAATAATAGGTAAAATAATAGTTGAATATTGTAACGTACATTTTGAAACACCATGTATATAAATAGGTATATGTATATTGATTTAGAATGATGTTTAAATATACCTATTATATTCTGGTAAATAACCGAAAATATTTCTAATTTTATTAAAATAAAAAGACTGTTTTATTCCTGCAGTTTACCTATCCAGTCCTCAACCAAGTTTCAACATTTTTAATGGTGTTCAATATAATTTTTTTTTAAATAATTAATTAATTTTAAAAGTCATGACAGTTAATTACAATATAATAAATAATATCTATAATAGGTATAAAATTGTTATTGAATAGTTAAATTATGTATTGTTCGTTTGGTTTCTTATTTAGAATTGTATAATACTATACACATTTTGTTTAAGATTGAAGTGGTATTTGAGCGTTGAGATTTCGTGACAAGGGTCGCATTAAGTGGGTGTATTTCCAATCTTGGGTGTTTACGGATCTTTGCAAGAAATTAAGTTAAAATAATCAATAATTATGGTCCCGTTATACGAATCGTACATCCATCGATAGTTTGTCCATTAAATAAGGGATGCAAGTATTTGTCATACATTTATATGTAGCTTCACTATAATTATTGGAGTGAAACTTCTTTAAGGAGGGTACGACCTCGAAAAAATGTTTGATAAAATCGTTAAAATAATTTTTTTTCCATTACATAACTTAGACCATCGAGTGGTCTCTAACTGTGGGGAATTGTACTGTTGGTTTTAAACAAGTGTGTTTTTGTTTGGCAGAATTTTGAAGTGAACACGTGTATTTGCCATGCTCGGGGATGGCGGCCTCTCTCTCCAGACACAGTGACTGCCCGAAGAGAAGTGCCGCCCCTTTTGATTGTTCAAAAATTGCCCTATATCGCCCATAATCTTTCTTAGAGACGTTCGTGTATCATTGTTTTAAATCCTATAATATCAGATTCTACTGAAACAGCTAAAATACCTCACCAACATGTTTCAGTATCAGGTGTTTAGTTAGTGCATGATGTTCAAAAGTATTAAAATAGATATATATACCTACCTATAACGGCTATAACTTATAACTTATAAGTATTTAAATTTAACGCGTTATAAGAAAATTATCATATTATACAAAGTATAGATCAAAATAATGGTGTTCATCATTAAATTGTCATATCTAGTTATTTTAATTAAATTGGCGAGACACCACAACAATACATTTGTTTTAAAGACAATTTAAAACACACTAAAAGAAAAATTTTAATATAATAAATTATATTACTAATCACAATATTATTGTAATAATAATAATAATGCCTTATTATATTAACATTTCATCTATCGCAGTGCCGTTTAAGGCATATTCTATATTTCGCTTGTGAATAAGTTGTGCAATAAAGTATTAGGTTATTACAGTTAAATATATTAACATCAGGCAACATAAACAGGAAGTTGGTATAATATGACAATAATGTTTGATTATTACAGCAAAATAATAGCCATTTGTTCTTTGTAATTTTGTTTTCATGGCCCCACGCCGTTCCCTTTGAACAATCAAGTTATGCGTTTGACACATTATTATTAATTATTGTATCAAACAATTTTAAAATAATAATATTATTTTTAATTTACTGTTGTACAATACCTACAGGCTACAGTCAGTATATAACTTTTAAGACAACAAGCAATTGCATTATTTTATGACACAGCCAGAGAATAATGGCAAAAATAATAAAAATGGCGTTTTACTTAATTTTTATTGGAGCACTTGTCATCAATGTTATGTCTGTAGGTAAATTTTTTATAACGTAATCGTATAGTTACTATTGTTTTGAATACATCGGTAAATGCCTAGTACTTGTGATGATAAACTAACACTTAATTGTGTGGTATACTAATAAATTAAAAATACCTGACATTAAGTTAATAGTTTTAATTGAAAATTAATAACAATTATATGTTTTCACTAAGTACCTGTTAACCATATCAGAAAAAATGATTTTCATGGAATAAGTTTTTGAGAAAAAATGTCAAAATCTTGACATTACTAAATTGATTATTTTACCATTTGCACATTAGCACATTGCTTCCCAGGTCAACAATTTATGCTTGTACAATATATTGATGTTTCATTAACATTTTTAGTACAATCCTTTGTTAACATACACTCTACGATTTAAAAGATTGGAAGTACACCCTAACATCACTGCTGATTATTATACGGTCGATCGATACAAAGAAGGAGAAGTTTTAAATGGCCAACTTACAATCAATTCGAAAGAATTAATTAACAAAGTTAGTACAAAATATGAAACCACTATATTCAGGTTAAACTATATTTTAAATTGTAAAAATAATTCATCAAAAATTATAATATTATAATGTTGTTCAATTATATTTGTTTTGTAAGTTAAAAATAATTATTAAAATTAACCAGTAATAAGTTTTAAGGTACGTAATACCGCTCAATTGCAAACATATCAATTTTATTATTGATAAATTAATACACTTTTATTTATTTATTTATTATTATGAATCGTGTATAATCTGTTGTTGAAGGTAATCGTAGTTATCTATCGTTGTGACTCAGATGGTATTAACTGCGAATACTTCCAAATGTGGACATTAACAGACATTTGCAATAAATTAAAGCAGAAGAATCAAATATGGTCCCGATGGTACGATTCGTTTAATCCACCGATGGTTTGTCCAATAAATAAAGTAAGAAAGTTATATAAGTAATATTTATTTTTCAATAGAACAATTATTGAACCTGCTTTATTCATATTGGGGGCCATGAGTTGACAATTTGTAAAAGGAATTCATTAAATAGATAATACAATTATATATTGCAATAAATATTTTTCTCAAATTACTAAAATATCAATTTGCATAAATACTTATTTTTTTCATATTAATATATTATAATGTAATATAATGATTAAGATCGTGTATAGTTAAATTAAACAATATAGACGAACCTATGAAACTAAAATAATCATCTAACTAATGTAATAACTCACAAGCAATCCAAGAAATTTTTATTACATTTTATGATTATTACAATTTAATGAATTTAATTAGTTACATATTAAAGAGAAAATATAGTATCCTTTGATTAAGCCTTCACGATGGATATTTTAAAACAAATGATTAGTACGATTTAGTAATAGTGACGATATCCCTCGAGATATGCTCCTCAAAAAATTGTTAGGAGGAAATTCATAAAAATATTTAAGTACCTATAGTGACCCAGACAGCCGGTGAGGTGCTCCTTTTATTAATGCAAAATTTTAGTGGCCCAGTTACCATACTCTTTTTTTGAAAAAAATATTAACTCTTATACCCAATTCCCGGACGTACGTCTTGTTTTATACGTGTATATCCAACTGAACGGTTGGTGTTTTGGTATTGGTTTGTACAAAATGTAATGCGGTTGGATAGTTTGGTAAAATACTAAAATGAGTTTGGGCAAGTGATTTTAATGCTTAAAATTTAACCGATTATTTCATATTATGTAAAAAGTAAGTATGAAAAATGGTGTTTTGTCGTCTTCACTTCGTTCTTCATCCACAACATTATTAATATATCAAAACTTAATAAAAAGTGAAAAAAAAATGTAATTTATATTTTATCTTTTTGTACTGTATGCTCAACATTTGATACTGAATGTTCGTTAATTGAACTCAGGATATGCAAATAGAACAAAAAAATATCAAAAATTACAAAATATGTATAATAATAGGTATAATTGTTGTTCTTTTCTAAAAAATTAACATCATTATACTATAATTATTGTTATGTATATGTATATTATCACATATTATGTATAATTTATAAATATAGGTATTATATCATGAGATTAATCCATAATAATAACTTTTTTCATTTAGGGGACTTATCGAATAAAAAACGCAACTATTGATATTGGCGCAGCACTACTGTTGTATCCTCAAGCAACCGATTACCAATGGAGAATAGTTCAAAAGCTCTACTCTGATGATATATTTATCGGTAGTGCCATGATGGAAGTTTATTTTTTTGGCTACAGAAAAAAAATGAAGTCCATTTTAAAACTATAACAATTTATAATAATATGTTATTTATTAAATTTAACTACAATATTAATTATTCATCCATTCTTGTTTAATATAAATACATAATAATAATATGTTGATTTACAAAAGTCGCTTAAATATACTTGTTATATTCCTGTAAATAACCAAAAATGTCATTAAAATAAAAATACTGATTCATTCCTGTTTATCTATCCACTCACCTGCAGTTGTATTACGTACGTCACGTCGGTGTCAATAATACCGTTTGAACGTGTTCGTATAATATTAACTATAATTTCCTCAGATGCTCATTAGTAGTGATTACTCACAACATAAAATATAAATTTATTATTTTATTACACATAAATATTTTTATCTTACTAACTATATTAGGTATCTATATTGTTTGTTTGGTTTCTTATTTAAAATTGTATAATACTATACACATTTTGTTTAAGATTAAAGTGGTATTTGAGAGTTGAAATTTTGTGACAAGGGTCACATTTAGTGGGTGTATTTCTAATCTTGGGTGTTTACGGATCTTTGCATTAAATTACGTTAAAATAATCAAGAATGGTAACGTTATTACGAATCGTACATCCATCGATAGTTTAGTCCATTAAATAAGGGATGCAAGTATTTGTCATAAATGTATATGCAGCTTCACCTTAATTATTGAAGTGAAACTTCTTTACGGAGGTACGACCTCGAAAAAATGTTTGATAAAATTGCGTCATGTGACTTTTTACCTTCACGACACTATTCGATAGCTTAGTGGACAGTGGTTAGTTCAAAAATCTATACCTACAAATTACAATATAATGACGGTACAGCTACGCTAAAAATCTAAAAATTAGATCAAAAAAACTCCTTGAATGAATTAATGATACAAAAACTCCAAATGTCCAAGAAAGTACCTAGATAATTGTCGATTAGTATACTTTAAAGTTCAAATAATATGGGTGAGCATTCTTTTTCAATCAATTTTTAAATCCCGTATACACTAATATAGCCTACACATAATCATCCCGCCTATAACATTTTTGTTCCTAACTTTCCTTATATTTAAGATTAAGATAACTAAAAAACAACTTGTTATATTATAATAGTGTATCAAGTTTAGTTTATCATGTTTGTCGGTTCATCATTTAAAATAATAATATTGTAAAAGTAAAAGAGAATATATTATAATATTGTGCATATAAACATTTTATCAATATACATATTAGGTACATGTACACTGCAGTTATATAGATGTGTTCCGAATAGTTCAAACAAAATTATAAGAATAACTTATTTTAAGTACATCACACTAGTACATATTGACATTTGATAAAACAATGGTGTAATAAGTAATCAAATTAATAATTTGGTTCTTCTTAGTCAGTAAATATTACATAGTTAGCGAATAATAGGTAGGTAGTTATCCATATCAACGTACTAAGTACAAAGGAAACTATAGATAATCTTATAAATATTAATTTTTAAAAATTACATTAGGTTGTCAAAGAAACATTGAAACACTCAATTAGATAAGTAACTTAACTTTTCATGTTATGATGAATAATGTCCATTTATTCTGTATTTTTAAAAATAAGATTTTCAATTATGGTTTTAATGATTTCAATGGCATTTATTTATAACAATATAAATATCACAATAAATCTATATTTTTCATCCAACACAATAATTTCTAGTATATTTTAGGTTTACTATAAATCATCCAGGTTTTAAACAAATGTGTGTTGAAAAAATACAATCCTAAATTTTGTTAAGTACTAAATATAAATATATTATTGTAATTTTTAGTGACTTTATATAAAGGTTATTTATTTAAATACTTTAATATTTGAATTTTTTTTTTTTTCATTAGTTGACCCGAGGAAACTTAGACCATCGGGTGGTTTTTAACTGTAGGTTTTAAACACGTGTGTTTTAGTTTGGCAGTATTTTCAAGTGGACACCCGTTGGTATCTGCCATGCCCGGGTGCACGTCGCAACCGACTACAGTAAACTCGGCCACTCCGTCCCCCATAATATAATTGTTATTCTTTTAATCTAACATTTTAATTGTTCAAAAATTGCCTTATCGCTCATAATATTTCGTAGAGACATTTCGTAGATATGTGTCATTATTTTAAATCCTAATATCAGATTCTACTGAAACAGCTCCAATAAATTACCAACATGTTTCAGGTATTTAGTGAGTATAAATAAATATATTACACGTTTTTTTTTTAATTTTAATTTTAATTTTATTTTAACGCGATATAAAAAAATTATCATGTACAAAGTATAGGTCAAAATAATTGTGTTAATCATTAATTGTTATTTCCAGCTAATTTAATCAAATTGGTGAGACATCACATACGATAATACATTTGTTTTAAGGACAAATTAAAACATCCAAAGGGGGACGAGGTGGCCGAGCGGTCTAACGCGTCGTCTGCGGCGCTGGCAGTCGCGGGTTCGACTCCCGACCACTGGGCGGCATTTTTCTCTGGGCAAGTCACGGTGTCCGGAAAACAAGTGCCGCCATCCCCCACTCCGGGGCATGGCAAAAACCTACGGGTGCCTCATTCAAAATTCTGCCAAAATACACCCACGTGTAACACCCCCCTACCGTTAAAAACCTACAGTACCCACCCCTCTCCCAATGGCCTAAGTTAACGCGGGATAAAGTTAATAAAAAAAAAAAAACATCCAAAAAAAATGTTCAATATATTAATTTTTATTACTAGTTCATCCATCTCAAAATTGGTATAATACCTATGACAATGTTTGATTATTACACCAAAATAATATTGCCTTTGTTCTTTGTATTTTTGTTTTCATGGTCCCACTCCGTTCGGTTTGAACAGTAAAGTTATGTGTTTCACATATTACTAGTTGTATCATATAATTTTAAAATCATAATATTATATTTAATATAAAGTCGTATAATACAGTCAGTATATTAATTATTATTATAACTTATACAACCACTAACAATTTATTGCAGTATTTTATGACACAGCAAGAGGATAATGGCAAAAATAATAAAGATGGCGTTTTACTTAATTTTTAATGGAGCACTTGTCATCAATGTTATGTCTGTAGGTATATTTATTATTACGTATTCGTATAATTACTTAGGTAATTGTATGGTATATTAATAAATTAAAAATACCTGACATTAAGTTAATAGTTTTAATTGAAAATTAATAACAATGAAATGTTTTGACTAAGTACCTGACACCTGTTAGCCATATCAGAAGAAAATGATTTTCATAGCATAAGTTTTTGAGAAAAAATGTCGAAATCTTGACATTACTAAATTGATTATTTTACCATTTGCACATTACTTCCAAGGTGAGCATTTTAATATGCGTATATAATCTATTGATATTTTATTAACATTTTTAGTACAATCCTTTGTTAACATACACTCTACGATTTAAAAGATTGGAAGTACATCCTAACATCACTGCTGATGCCTGATTATTATAAGATCGATAGTATACAGCAAGTGAAAAATGGCGAAAAGAATAATGATGGCGTTTATGCATTTTACTTAATTGTTATAGGAGCACTTATCATCAATGTTATGTCTGTAGGTATTTTTATTATCACGCATAATATATTGTGTATAGTTACTATTGTTTAGAATATATCGGTAATTATTTTTTAATAAGACTGATTGAAACTTCCAAAGAGAAATGTTTTAAAATATTAATTTTTATTACTAATCTCAATATTATTGTTAAATTAATAGTTATTATATCAACATATTTTCATCTATCACAGTTCCATTTAAAGAATATTCTGTTCCACGTGTGATTAAGTTATGCAAAAAGGTTATTTGAATCTATTACCTAATAAGCTATATCTATTATTAAATCTTACAAAACAGGATACATTAACAGGAAATGTAAATTACTGTGTATAAAATAATGAATTATATGCTTGACCATTACAGCAAAATAATAGCTGTTTGTTCATTGTGATTTTGTTTTTTATTATTGAACAACGTTCCGTTTCAACAGTAGTTATGCGAACATATTTATTGTATAAAACAATGATTTTAAAATCATAAATATAAATTAATAAATCGTCGTATAGTATCTACTTACAGTCAATGTTTAACTTTTGCAACCACAAGCAATTGCACAATTGTATACAGCAAGCGAAAAATGGCGAAAAGAATAATGATGGCGTTTTACTTAATTTTGATAGGAGCACTTACCATCAATGTTATGTCTGTAGGTACCTATATTTATTATTACGTATAATATATTGTGTATAGTTACTATTGTTTAGAATATATCAGTCAACGCCTACTACTTGAAATCGACAAACTAACACAATTGCTTAACACACAATTTTATGGTATATACTAATGAATAAAATACCTAACATTTAACAGCTAGTAGTTTTAATTGAAAATTTATAACAATAATGTTATATTTTCACAATATCACATTTATTATACATTATTGCACATTATCTACTGCTTAGGTCAAAAATGTATGCTTTTACAATATATTGATGTTTCATTGACATTTTTAGTACAATCCTTTGTTAACATACACTATACGATTTAAAAGATTGGAAGTGCACGGCCCGAACATCACTGCTGATTATTATACGGTCGATCGATACAAAGAAGGAGAATTTATAAATGGCCAAATTAAATTCGATTCCAAAGTACTAGTTAACAAAGTTAGTACAAAATATGAAACCACTGTATTCAGGTTAAACTCTATAATTCATCACATCAATGTACCTACTATAAAGTTGTTTTATAAGTTTTATTAAATAATCATTAAAATTAACAGGTAAAAGTAGCTCCTTAAATAATTATATATGTATTTTTAAGGTAATAGGTACCCTATTAATACTCTTCTATTTATTTATTTATTATTATGAATCGTGTATAATCTGTTGTTGAAGGTAATAGTAGTTATCTATCGTTGTGACTCAGATGGTATTAACTGCGAATATTTCCAAACGTGGACATTAACAGACATTTGCATTAAATTAAAGCAGGAGAACCAAGTATGGTCCCGATGGTTCGATTCGTTTGATCCACCGATGGTTTGTCCAATAAATAAAGTAAGAAAGTTATATAAGTAATATTTATTTTTCAATAGTACAATGGGACCTGCTTTATTCATATAGGGGGCCATGAGTTGACAATTTGTAAAAGGAATTCATTAAATAGATAATACAATTAAATTGTTACAATAAATATTTTTCTCAAGTTATTAAAATATGAATTTAAATAAATAGATCAAGATAATCATCTTATGATTAAGATCGTGTAGTTAAATATTAAACAATATAGACGAAACTACAAAACTAAAATAACCATCTAATTAATGTAATAACTCATAAGCAATCCTATACATTTATATTATATCATTAAATTATATGCTAATTATAATTTAATGAATACAATTAGTCAAATATTTAAGAAAAAATATAGTATCCTTTGATTAATCCTTCAAGATGGATATTTTAAAACGTAGAAATAGTATGATTTATAATAGTGACGATATCCCTCTTGAAATGCTCCTCAAAAAATTGGTATTAGGAAATAAAAATAGTTAAGTACAATAGACAGTTAAGTGCCATGTGCACCTTTTATAAATGTAAAATTTAAGTGGCTCAGTTACCAGTGGCGTAAACTGGGTGGTGCAAATGCAGCACTTGCACCACCACATCTAAAATGTGGTGGTGCAAAGGTATGTTTTTGCACCACCAGAAAATCATTGAAATATATAATATATAAAGAGGTACAAAATAGTTATTTTCGTGCATGTATTAGACATTATCATTTAAATTATTACCCTATCTATATTGTAAAATATCGTACAACCCCCATAAATAGTTAGATTATTATCTATGGTAACCACTATCCACAGAATTTTGTATTTTATTATGGCAGTATCACAGAATCACGATTAAAAATATTACCTATATCTTTAATCTTGCACAGAATAGACGTATAATATGGTAAAATTATATTGCTATCAACATTCTACCGCCAAAATAGTATGTTATCACTGGATCAATGTTCATTCAATTCTCAAAAGTCAAATGTCAAATGACAGCTAGACGTCGTATTGAATCAAATTTTAAAATTCTCTACAGGTTTCATAAGCGCCAGGAAAAACAACATAAAAATTAAGGAAAAACAGGAATTTTTACCCGAAATCAGTTTTCGACAAAATCGATTTTGATTTTTGACCAAACAAATGAACATATACACATGTACATATATAATTGAAATATTCACTGGTTGGGTAAAAAAGCTTGGAAATTTAATACAAGGCTCCAACTATATTGTTACAATGACATTAGAAAATTATTAAAAATCCTTAGTCACAGTTTTTTTTATAAGCATTTAAAGTTCAAATCTTGACAAAATACAGAAAAATCACGTATATTAACAATATAATTTGAGTTGAAAAAATCATAAAAATGTTTCTTTTCAAATCTAAGATTTTAAAATGTAATACAAGATTATTCATAAGTTTGTAACGCCTTTATCAAAAAAAAAATTTCCACAAGTAAATCAAATTAAATTTTTATGAGCATTTGAAATTCATATTTTTACAAGATTGGATATTCACTAGATTTCTCATGTAGCGATTTTATTAATTTGTTGTTATTCAAACAAATAACTGTAAAATACATGAAAATTTATATAATATTTATATTTTAATTTTCTATACACCACAAAGTTTTGAAAATATTTTAACTCTCTTTGAGCTGTTTCCGGACATTGTCATTTTTTAATTTTTTTAGTTTTTTTTTCTATAAATATCAATAAAATGTTATTTGTTGGGTAAAAAGCGTGACAATTTAATGGAAGGCTCCTGATATATTGTTACAATAGCGTTGAAAAATATTAAAAATACATAGCCACAATTTTTTTTTATAAGCATTTGAAGTTCAAATGTTGACAAAACGTATGGATAAATATATAGTTTTTTTTTTTTTGTTAGGAAGGATTTTACTTAGAAAGTTGGATTATTTTTGTGTTGGAAATTATAGGTTAAGAATATGCCTCTGCACCACCAGAAATTGGACCCAATTTACGCCACTGTCAGTTACCATACTCTTTTTTGAAAAAAAAACTTTAATTGTTATCCACGTTGATTCATACGTGTCTTCCAACTTTGCGGTTGGTGTTTTGGTATTAGTGCATTAAAAATGTAATGCGGTTGTTCAAGTGATTTAAATGATTACATTTTAACTGATATTATTTAATATTATATAAAATGTAAGTATTAAAATTGTAGTCTTCGTTCTTGACCAATAACATTATTGATATATTTTGGGAACGAGGTGGCCGAGCGGTCTAACGCTGGCAGTCGCGGGTTCGATTCTCGACCACCGGGTGGCATTTTTCTCCGGGCAAGTCACGGTGTCCGGAAAACATGTGCCGCCATCCCCCCACTCCGGGGCATGGCAGAAACCTATGGGTGCCCCATTCGAAATTCTGCCAAAAAATAAACCCACTAGCCAATGTTTATGAACATGTATTATGTGCGATGCGCTAGATGGCAGTATTTTATTAATCTATTTTCTCTCTCATTTTATCCGACACCGAAAACTATTTGAATCTACCATATTATATTACTAGTAGAAAAAAATTACAAATATAATTTAAATATTTATAAATTTAATAATTTATTGTAATATCATTAAAAAAATTCTGATCATCTCAACAGGATACTCATCATCGTCTTTTCTCGGTATCTTTTTATATAACAATGATTTATCGTTGAATTCAAATTTAACACCAACCTACTCGACGAGTAAAATTTTCCACCATAACTTATGCAAAACTATGAACAGTCGGATTTTGAATTCTCGTTAGTTATGCACATGGAATAAAAAAATATCAAAAATTGCAAAATATTCATTATGATAATTTTCTAAAAAATTAACATACTACACTTATTGTTATATATATTTTATCACAAACTATGTATAATTCATAAATATAGGTATTATATGATGAGATTGATCCATAATAATAACTTTTTTCATTTAGGGGACTTATAGAATAATAAATGGAACCGTTGATATTGGTGCAGCACTACTGTTGTATCCTCAAGCAACCGATTACCAATGGAGAATAGTTCAAAAGATGTACTCTGATGATAAATTTATCGGTAGTGCCATGATGGAAGTTTATTTTTTTGGGTACAGAAAAAAAATGAAGTCCATTTTAAAACTATAACAATTTATAATAAGTTATTTATTTAATTTAACTACAATATTAATTATTCATCCATTCTTGTTTAATATAAATACATAATATGTTGATTTACAAAAGTCGCTTAAATATACTTTTATATTCCTGTAAATAACCAAAAATGTCATTAAAATAAAAATACTGATTCATTCCTGTTTATCTATCCACTCATCTGCAGTTGTCTTACGTACGTCACGTCGGTGTCAATAATACCGTTGGAATGTGTTCGTATAATATTAACTATAACGGCCTCAGATGCTTATTAGTAGTGATTACTCATAACATACAATATCAATTTATTATTTTATTACATATAAATATTTTTATCTTACAAACTATATATTAGGTATCCGCTCTTTAATTACAAACAATTTCAACGCCGGTGATACATTTGTAAGGAAGTTACATGTTAAGGCTAGCATTATTTGGGTACAGAAAAATAAGCAATAATAAAACTTTAAGGTAACTTCATAGTTTTATTGAAACGAAAATCTTAACTTTTACAATTTCAAATGGGTAACAGTATTAATACATACAATTGTTTCACCTTTATTTCTTGTATTTTTCCACTATTTTTATTTTCGTTGATTGATAGTGGACTTTGGTGTTATTCCCTGTATTCATATAATTTGTTAAATTTCAATAACATTAAATAATAAAGGAGGGAAAATGGACTTTGTCAAATTTGCTGAGGAACCCACGGAGATCTGCAGTATTTAAACGATTTATCTCGATGGGGGAGTATACTTATGTGATAAAAATCAGAGTCACCAATCGACGCAGAGATGAAACTATTATATGAATATGATCAAAACATTAATTTCAAAATAAGTGGAGATTGCTGACTTTGTCACGTAACGCCTGATCAAAATTAACAACGACAATACATTTTCATTACCCTCATGTATCCGCTTTTTAACTATAAACAATTTCCAGCACAAACAGTATCCTCGAGTGACTGACCACCAATTGAGAGTGACACAAAAGCTCAACGCTGGTGATACATTTGTACGGAAGTTACAAAATGTAAGGGCTAGCTTTGAACTTACCTTCTAGCTTAACTTTTACAACTTCAAACAACAGTATTAATACATGGAGCTACACTGCTACAGGCTACAGCAGGAGAAAAATGGCAATAAATATGAAGATATAACATATTATTACATAATGAGTTTAGGTACTATTTTTTTTTTAGAACACATCAGGAAGTAATACTAGTGATCTGAAAGTAACATGTTTTGACGATTGTATAAGACATAATTGAACGGTATAAAATGATGTATGGGGGACGAGGTGGCCGAGCGGTCTAACGTGTCGGCTGCGGCGCTGCAGGTCGCGGTTTCGATTCTCGACCACCGGGCGGCATTTTTCTCCGGGCAAGTCACGGTGTCCGGAAAACAAGTGCTGCCATCCCCCACTCCGGGGCATGGCAGAAACCTACGGGTGCCCCATTCGAAATTCTGCCAAAAAATACACCCACGTGTAACACACCTACCGTTCCAAAACCTACAGTACCACCCCCCCCTCAAAATAGCCTAAGTTGCCGCGGGATAATAATAAAAAAAAAAAAAAATAATGATGTATAATATAATGTTAAGTTAGTGGTTTAAATTTGAAATTAATTACGACAATGAATTTTCATTACTCATATGTATCACAATATCAGAACAAATGATTTTCACAAAAGATATATTATATTTAAAAAAAAATATTTTCATAATTGATCATTTTAAATAACTTATAGAACCTACATTAAAATGATCTATATATAAGGCCTATGGAGTAGAGAAGCACTAATATTTTCCCTAATTACAGTTACTTATAGTTATAATTAATTTACAATAAAAGACAAAAGATATATAAAGTGTATACAATTTGTGAAGGTTTTATAAAGATAAAACTTAAAATAAATAACAACCATTTTATCGTTGTGCCCAGAGAGTGGCGTAATTAGGTTTTTGACATGGGGGGGGGTATGATTTTATCCAGTAGCCCCGCTTTTAAAGCTAGAAGCCTTAAGTTAGGACTCCAAAAAATTGTGCGTATTATATACAGCCAATGGGGGGGATTGATCCCCTTGATCCCCCCTCCTCCCTTAAATAAGCCACTGGACCATGATGGTTTTAACAGCGAATACATCCAAACGTGGAGATTAACAGACATTTGCTGCAAATCAAAGGAAAAAAGTGGGTGTCGCTCTGCTGTACAGAAGGTTACAAGTGGGTCACTCTAATGGATGGTGTTAAATTTGAATTCAATGATAAATATCATTATAGAAGAAAAACGATTTTGAGCGAAAACGGTCATTCAGCCTATGATAAATGATATTACTAAGTATATTTGATGATATTATTGTGAATAATTTAATTTATATATAACCTATTTACGTGGAACCGTGTTTTCAATTTTCAAGCTTTTTTATACAACAATTAAAATTTTATTGATATTTATAGAAAAATAAACTAAAAAAAATGGAGAGAGTTATAAGAAAATGCGAATATAAACTATCATTGAAAATTGCATGTATATATGTTAATTTGCTTAAGAGTCGCACCAAAAAACAAAATCGATTTTCTCGACAACAGATTTTGAGTAAAAATTCCCGTATTTCCTTAATTTTTCTTTTGTTTTTCACAGCGCTGTGAAAACTTCTGAGAATATTTCTTTCGACTCACCCAATGTACCAACTAGATTCACTTTCCTATCAGAAAAGATACTGTTGAAGAAAATCCAAGCATTTTTACTGTCCTAAAAGGTGTTGACAGATACAAAAATAAAAAATTTAAAAAAAAAACACATATATCATTGTAAGATCAATAGGTACATTTATCGCTCCGCTCAGAATCTAAAATCAAGTCTGGTAATACATTCTTAAGACTTAACTATTATTGTACTACTGTATTAACATTGGCGCAACTAGGAAGGGGAAGCTAAAGGGGGGGGCTTATCCCCATCTAACTAAGATTGAGCCCCCCCACAATTACCAATTATTGATTTAGATATAAGCCCCCTATGGGTTATTTAAAATAATAATACTGTAAAAGTAAAAGATGAGATTATAATATCATATTTTTATTCTAATATTGTGCATTTAAACATTTTCTCGTTATACATGCGGTACACTGAAATTATATAGATGTGTTCAGAACAGCAGTTCAAACAAAATTATATGACCACTATATCCAACTATTTCATATTTTCATGTGATAAAACAATTATGTAATTATAGTAACAAAATTAATAATTAAGCTCTTTGTCAGGAATATTAAAAGGCCAGTAATAGTTATCTTTATACATTATCAATATAGGAAACTACTATGTTCCAAAAGAAAACGGGACATACCTACAACTGACGGCTGGGCCAGTGCAAAGGAAAAACTTCCACCACACTGCTAGCCGACGTTTCTAGAAGACGATGACGATCGTTGGCTAGGAAGGTGGGTTCTGCCGCAGCTTTCAGTTGTATGCGCGAAAAGTGACTGTTCTCTTTTGGAACAGAGTATAGGTATGAAAGGTTAAAAAATAAGAGAGAGCATACTACTTGGGTCCGAAATTATTATCAGTTGGTGAGTTTGCGTCCTGCAAAAAAAAGATTCAAAATGGGTCATAGCTAGCCTACTTGCGTCCCTGTATACCTTTTTTTATAACCTAATCGCGTCCGAAAATATCGATATGATCGATATCGAAATGCTAGTAAAAAGATACATTGAATTAAAATTAATTGGTGAGACACCACGATAATAAATTTATTTCAAAAAGAAAAATTTTAATATATCAATTTTTAATACTAATTCAATATAAAAATATTAATAATGCCTATAATATTAACATTATATTATATTATGACATTATATTAATATTTCATCGATCGCAGTGCCATTTAATGATTATTCTGTTTCGCGTGTGAATAAGTTGTGCAATAAAGGAATTACAGTTAAATATATTAACAACAGCAACATAACCAGGAAGTTGATATAGCATGACAATGTTTGATGATTACACCAAAATAACATAGTGCCATTTGTTCTTTGTATTTTTGTATTCATGGACCCACTCCGTTCCGTTTGAACAGTAAAGTTAAGTGTTTCACATATTATTAATTGAATCAAACAATTTTAAAATCATAATATTATATTTAATATAAAGTCGTATAATACAGTCAGTTTATTATAACTTATACAACCACTAGCAATTGCAGTATTTTATGACACAGCAAGACGACAATGGCAAAAATAATAAAGATGGCTTTTTACTTAATTTTTATTGGAGCACTTGTCATCAATGTTATGTCTGTAGGTATATTTATTATTACGTATTCGTATAGTTACTATTGTTTTGAATATATCGGTAAATGCCTAGATAAGTACTGTGATGATCATATGCCTAGCTGTGATTGATAAACTAACACATAGGTAATTGTATGGTATATTAATAGATTAAAAATACCTGACATTAAGTTAATAGTTTTAATTGAAAATTAATAACAATGATATGTTTTGAATAAGTACCTGTTAGCCATATCAGAAAAAAATTATTTTCATAGTAGGTATAAGTTTTTGAGAAAAAATGTCGAAATCTTGACATTACTAAATTGATTATTTTACCATTTGCACATTACTTCCAAGGTCAACATTTTAATATGCGTATACAATCTATTGATATTTCATTAACATTTTTAGTACAACCCTTTGTTAACATACACTCTACGATTTAAAAGATTTGAAGTACACCCTAACATCACTGCTGATTATTATACGATCGTTAGTATACAGCAATCGAAAAATGGCAAAAAGAATAATGATGGCTTTTTACTTAATTGTTATTGGAGCACTTATCATCAATGTTATGTTAACTTATGTCTGTAGGCAGTCCTGTAAAGTATTTGAGTAAAAGTATTCAAATACTTTTTTAAGTATTGAATAACTTTTTAAATACTTTCAGCATGAAGTATTTTGAATGGTATTTTAAATACTTTTTTTTGTATT